ATCATTTATTGAACTTGAAATGATTATTGCAATGTAAGAAAAGACAACAAAGTAGATATTTGCATAGTTCCTCTCAAGCAAACCCACTTGTAATGGAATTCCAGTAATGAAAATGATTTTCCACATGAATTTTGTTGAAATTTGCTTTGAGTATTTGATTTTGAAGGTTTCTAGAAAACTTGTCCTCTTTTGTCTGTTACTGCTGCAGGGTTGGTGAGGCAATGTACAGCTTTCTCCGGGGCTACCAAGGCAGCGACGATAAAAATAGGGCAGACTTAAAGAATCCCAGATATTTTCAGATAACAAAGACTGATTTATGTGGGCCCATTTTGTGCTCTGACAAAACATAGAGCAGCTTTTGTGCTGTGATTAGCAAGGGCGCTGATGTCAGTTCTCTTGTCGAGCATCAAGCTTTATTCTGTGGCTAAATTGTGCTTTGTACCATAATCCAGAGAACCTTTGTATCTGCCTTATTAAAGTGTGTAGTTTATGTAATTGCTTTTGTTTTCCAGTTTAATCTGTGCCAGATTCAATGAGAGTGACTCATTTTGTGACTGAGACAAACATTCACATTTGGACCATGTTAAAAATAAATAAATAAGTGGCAGGTGCTGTTGGCTAAATTCTGTGTTTTAGTGCCGTAATTTCCTGCTGTAAGGGTCCATCTCTTATCCTCTGTAACCGCTGGTGCAATCTTGCTGGTGCTCCCCGATTCAACTCCTGCTCCCAGGGCTACTCATGTCTCGGTTATTCATTTTAGTTTCCAAGGGCCTTTTACATTTTAACAATATCATTTCAACAGAGAAGCAAAGAAATGGCCGGGGAACTACAGTTAACCAGAAGACAAAGAGCAGAGGGATACATTCTGTTCCTTCCTTTTTGTCATTTTTCCCCAGGTGTTTTGTGTATGTGTTTTGGTAAAGCTGTCTTCATTGTTTGTGTTACTATGTGTATGTTCGGTAACCAGCTCTTCTTCTCAAGTGGAAGGGTTTTTGAAAGCACACCTTTCTGTTCAACGTGGCCCTTATATCTAATCTAATGTTCTCAAAAATTTACAACTTTAGTCTTAGGGGAATTCTGTTCATTGTACAGGTATTTCTAGGTACCAGGCTCTGTGTTATGCGTGGAGTATATAGTGACAAGTCACTATCTTAGTGGACTTGACAGTCTGCCTCTGGAGTTAGATACTAAATAAGTAAATACAAAGAAAATTTAATTTGCAAAATGACAACCACTTAAGTAATAAAGTAATATTACTTGGGTAATAAGGTGTATTACATGGGTAATAAGGTCCTACTTACATCAGGGGTCGTTGGGAAGGGAAGGCCTGAAGGTCAGAGACGGCCTGGCAAGAGAACATGCTAGACTCAGGAAATGGCATGCATAAAGTCTCTTGAGGCAGGAAACAGTTTGGCATCCTATTAACCGTATTATTAGAAGAGAGAAGTGACAACTGACAAGTCTAACAGTATTAAAAAGATTATAGATCAACTACAAAGGACTGCAGTAGGGCACTATTTAGTATAGGGGCAAATAGTTCAGCAGCCTCTGAGAGCTTCCCTGAAAGTGCAGTATAGAGATTGATGCCTATACTACTTCATCTGAGTCACTGGGGGAATGGATGAATTGTGTTCAATGAATTATGTAGTAAGGCATTGTGGAAAGATTTCGACAAGAGACATTAAAGTTTTAAAAAGTCATTTATGTATTTAAAGACAGAATCTTTCCTATTTGGAGAAATCACTTACTAAAAGATATGATTCCTTGATGGCCCTAGATAAGTGATATAATACTCTATTTTCTTCTCTGTTGCTTTTGCAGACTTACTGCTTGAGGGAGGTTCACATAGCTTTACTGAGAGACGATATTTATTTATTTTGAAGTAAATAAGTGTCTTATTAACTAAATGGATTTTTGTAATCCAGAAACCAGTGCTAAAGTCATGTGAATTTAACGTGTTGAGAATCTTTAGTGTTTTCTAAAACATCTAGAAGAACCTCCCACTGCCTTTTCTTTCTGGACACTACTAATCATTTACTTTATACTTGGAGCTGTCATCAGACTGAGAATTTAACTTAAAACCTTGTTTTGACATTAAAGAACTACATAATATTTGTAAGCCTTGGTGATATTTCTACTATAAATCTTATTGAAGGATTGCATCCAGTTTTTCCATGAAGGAATGCCTCTCCATTTACATAGTTCTGGAGATACGTTGCCAGGTTTGCTATATTTTCATGCATGCTATGGTACATATTTTCTTTGTGATTAGTCAAATCCTTGAGAGTAGCAATCATGAATTACCTACTTGTAGTTTTCCCCACAGATATTTACAGTATAATTGCTAACTTATTGCCTGGATAACTCATTGATATACCTTTTAATGTAGCTACGTTTCCTTGAATGGATACAATTTAAAGAGTCTATTAAAATGTTAAGCCTAAAGTTATCACCCACTTTAATTCAGTTATAAGTACAGTTGTCCAAGGATTAGGGAGGAAGATGTTCAGGGCCCCTGGGGGGCTCAGTCGGTTAAGCATCCAACTATAGCCCAGGTCATGAACTCACGGTTCGTGGGTTTGAGCCCCACATCGGGCTCTATGCTGACAGCTTAGAGCCTGGAACCTGCTTTGGATTCTGTGTCTCTCTGCCCTTCTCCTTCTCATGCTTTGTCTCTTTCTGTCTCTCAAAAAAAAAAATAAACTTTTTTTTAAAAAAATTTTAAGAAAAAAAAAAGAGGAACATGTTCAAGGAGGAATAAGTCTTAATATTGTTTCTAGGCAGAGTTGTTGGGTTTAAAGACTGCTGAAGCCACTGTTACAGTCATTCACTTCTGCTTTTATTATTTAACCAACGAGATTTTAGAGAGTAATAGTATAAGAATTTTAGGCTTCTTCAGGCATAGTATGAAACTTGTAACTTACCAAAACTTGTGGAGGGAGTACATGGTGAGTATAGATCTAGATTGCCAGTATATGTTTGTTGGGAAGAAAAGGGAAAAGAGAAAGAGATAGGAGGAGGAAAATTGCCGATCTTAGCCACGTGGTCTTTGAAAAATAGACTGGCCAGAAGAAGGACACAGCCCATTTCTTTGCTTGCTTTTCAAGTGAGAAATGAGGAAAGCTTTTAAACTCTTTTTTTCCCCACACCCCTCACACAGAAGAAAGAGACAGAGACAGAGACAGAGCTTAAAATACGAAGAAGTCTTTTGAAGAAGTACCTTTATGTATCCTTTTTTTTTTTTTTTTTTTTTTTTTTTGAGA